GGGGAAAAAAAATTAGGGGGTCAGGACATCCTGGCCCCCGTTGATGGGTGGTCCTCACAACGTCCCAAAAATTTGGGAGTCAGAACTCCAATTATTGGGAGTCGGTTGACTAAGACCCTTTTTTTGTGATTTTTTGTTTTTTATTTGTGATTTTTTGTGTTTTTTTTGTGTTTTTTGTGTTTTTTGTGTTTTTTGTGTTTTTTGTGTTTTTTGTGTTTTTGTGTGTTTTTTGTGTTTTTGTGTGTTTTTTGTGTTTTTGTGTGTTCTTGTGTGTTTTTTGTACTTTTTTTGTAATTTTTTGTGTGTTCTTGTGTGATTTTTTGTTTTGTGTTTTGTGTTTTTTGTGCTTTTTTGTGCTTTTTTGTGCTTTTTTGTGCTTTTTTGTGCTTTTTTGTGCTTTTGTGTACTTTTGTGGTCTTTTTTTGTGTTTTTTTGTGTTTTTTGTATGTTTTTTTGTGTTTTTTTGTATTTTTTTTGTGTGCGTTTTTCTGTGTGCGTTTTTTTGACTGTGTTGAATTTGGGTGATTGATTTTGGATGATATCTTGCTATTACTAAGACTGTATTCTTTTACTGTACTTCTGTACTGGTTCACTCATGTAGCTGAAATTACCATCTGCTGTGACACTCTGGGCTTGAACAATGTGAGAAGGTGGTGGCTGAATTCTTACAATTTTTGCAGGAAATTGTCTGTTTTTCCTTGGTGTGCTGCTGGCAGTTCTCACAGTAACAGGACAGAATACCTCTATTGAACTTGGGTTCTTGACAGGTGCTTTTGTGCCAATTAGCAGGACAGCCTTTGGTGGAACATTCTTCATATACCAATGAGGATTTCCTACAAGAGGTGCAGCTCACCAGGTTGGTAGCTTTGGTATGGAGCTGGCAGGAGTCACATTTTCCAATGAACCTGGGAAATGTCAAAGATGGGGAGTTGCAATTGCTTTGGTGATGTGGTGTCATTGCACCCACAAGACCTCCTGCTCCCAATAATATGCCAAGAAATTGTCCAATTGACATAAGGATTATGGGGGTGATGTAATGCATGGGGTAAGGTACTAGCTTTGATGGGACTTGGTGATAGTACTTCCTCTAATAGGATTTGAACTCGTGACCTGTAGATTTTGTGTGAGTGTGTGTGGACAAGGTGCTGAATGAAAGATTAACCAACTTGACTAAAGGGGTGTGATGGAAAAGTGCTCAAGTCTCCTATATATGGCTTGCCAAAAATATCAGCCCAGTTCACAATAGCCAGTCATCAGCAAGATTTTTAGCCATATTTAGCAAATCATGAATGCTTATAAAAAAACATACATTTTTGGATCTGTAGTCCAGAGCCCCCCAGATGGTTTCAGATCCATCCTAAAAGAATTTTGCTATCAGCAACTTTCAACAAGGTGATCAGCCATTGAAACTGGCTATTGTGACCCGGACTATTTATACCTAGATTTGAAAGAATCAATTTCCAGCCACCAAAGTGCTCCAATGGTAAGATCTGGTAGGATGCCAAAATCAAATGATGTATGATGTGGAGAAAAACCTAGGGTCCTTGAATGATCATTCTATAAAACATGACCAAGCACAGAGAGAGCCAGGGTTTTTCAAAATGTGGCATTGGGATTCAGCCTGATGAAGAGATTGTGGGTGATGATCAATCTTTTGTGTACCTCAGCTGAGCAGGTAAGCAGGTGTGAAGGTTGTCATTGTTGTATTTCTTTATATTCCCAGCTGAATCTAAAAATCCTAGCTTGATGCTGTAATAGTAAGGATTTCAAACTGGAATGGCTTCAACTTGCAACCCCCCTGCCCAAAAAAAAACATATCATGTCATATGTCCCTTCTGACCTAATCCTCCAGCTGCCTTTATATGTACACTTCTGAACAAGGCTGGCATGATATATGTAGCAGATCACGGCAATTGGCTTTGTACAGTCTCCTCCCAGATGTTTATAGCCATCTGTTTTGAGCTCCACACTGGGAACCCAAACATTTCAAGTCACAAGAGTTTGTGGAATGGTGGAAAATGGGTCTCATAGAATGAATATGAAAAAATAATAACAAAAAATAAGATTTTAAAATTTGTAAAAAGTAAAAAGGAGAAAATCACAAAAACTGACAGCCTCAATTTTTCTTTCAGGAAAATATGAAATGTGAAAAGTGATAGTATGAGATCTGGAATGAATGATAAAAAGTGAAAATTTGGAAAAAAATGACTACTTGGTGGTTACAATTAGAGATGGTCACTTTGCATCCGGATATCGGCACAGATCCGGATATCCGCTCTTAATTTCAGCAGAATTGCCTAATTTCCACTGAAATTATGAGCGGATATCCGGATCTGAACGGATATCCGGATGCAAAGTGACCATCTCTAGTTACAATTAAGGGTGCCTAGGGGGTCATTCATCAAGAAATGTGGCATTCTGGTACTGCAATCTACTGATTTTGACTGCAGGGTGTCCACCCACCATGCTGAAAATTTTTTTGGATCAATATTTTTCATTTATAATCATTCTTTTCATGTTCCAAACTTGGCCTCTGTGTGTTCACTTTTCACTCAAACAAAAAATTAAAGTTTTCAAAAAAAGTTGATTTTCTTTTATCTTTTTCACAAATTTTAAAATCTTATTTTTTATTATTGTTTTTTCATATTCATTCTTTGGAACCCATTTTCCACCATTCCACAAACTTTTGTGACATGAAGTTTTTGGGTTCCCTCTGTGGAGCTCAAAACAGATGGCTATAAACATCTGGCAGGAGACTGTACAAATGCCAACCAACAAACCCAGAAGCTGGCTGGCTTGTCTTGGAGGACAAGTGATACATAACACTCTTCAATCAAACATTTGAGTGCATCCAGCCACTGGAACCAACAGGTCCAGCAGTCTCCCATCCTCAACAGCTGGTCCGAGTCTTGAGGATGGCACTATGCAATCATGATGTGATGTGAAGGGTTTTTTAAGGATCTTCTACAGTCAAGGACTGAGACCGGTCAGTTGAATGGGAGCCCTTTTTCTTTTGAAAGTCCAACCACCATAAGCTTGCCCATCAGTTGGACCATTCTGATTTCCTCCTGCACATGCATGACCAGCTTGCGGTTTTCTTGTCAAGATGATGCCCAATCTCCGGTGAAAATCACCATGAGTTTTTAACTTTTCTTGATATGCTTCACAATGCATCTGCGCCAGTCAACTGATAGAGAGTGGATATGGATCTCATTAGACCAAGTCTGGCCATGCTATTATTACTTACAAAAAGAACTGGTTTTTGGCTGTCCTTTTGCATACATACATAAGACCAGTTCAGGAGGGGCGTTGATAAACGCACTCCCTCCCCCTCCCCGCACGCCCACGCCCACGCCCCTCCAAAAGGGGTGTGCGATTGAACCCGCCCCTCCTGGAGGGGCGGGTTTGATTGCACGCCCCTTGGAATCCTGTTTTTCCAAGGAAACAGGCTTCCGAGGGGCAGGCAAAAGAACCCGCCCCTCCAGGAAGGGAGGGCAAAAGAACCCGCCCATCAAGAACGATATTCTGGGTTCTTGACTAGCGGGTATGATTACGTGAGCAAAACATCCTAGGATGTTTTGCTCACGTAATCCTATCTTCTTACTATGTAACATTTTAAATCCAGCCCATCGGGAGGGTTTACTCCCGATGGACTGGATTTGAAACCAGTTCATCGGGAGGGTTTCCTCCCGATGAGCTGGTACATAGCTCATTGGGAGGGTTTCCTCCCGATGAGCTGGTACATAGCTCATTGGGAGGGTTTCCTCTAGATGAGCTTCAGGAAAGTCCAGCTCCTCGGGAGGAAGCCCTCCGGATGGGGCGTTGATAAACGCACGTAAGCAAAACTTGCCCGCAAGTTTTGCTTACATCAGTGAAGGGAGAATAAAGTTCTCCCTTCACCTCGTCAGGAAGGGCGGGTTCATCTGCCCGCCCCTCGGAATCCTGTTTTCGAGGGAAAACAGGATTCCGAGGGGCGGGCAGATGAACCCGCCCTTCCTGACGAGGTGAAGGGAGAACTTTATTCATCCGCTTCACTGATGTAAGCAAAACTTGCGGGCAAGTTTTGCTTACAT